TTCGTTATCAATACAGATAGACCGTCAATCACCTACATATCAGAAAAATATGGCAGTTCCAGTGAAAAAATCACCAAAAAAGACACCACCTATTAACCATTAGTGGAGAGCGACATCGCACAAAGAAAGAGAGAGAGAGAGAGAGAGAGAACAATATGACAAGCAACCCAAATACATATTTGGAGGCCTACGGGCTGCGATATAGTTCGCAACACTAAGGGGTGCAGTAAGGTGCGGTATGGCATCTGTGTCAAGGTGCGCCCGAATTTTGCGAGGGACGACCACTCCAAAGTAGGGCATGTAAGGAGTCCAGATTTTCGTACGACCGGTCCTTTCAGTGCTTGCAGACGACCGACAGACGTACCAGTAAGGAGGCATTGAAGGAGCCGAGCTCACATGTAAGTCTTCCTCCTAGTTGCACTCCGAGGGACTGGTGGGTGGGCGTAGGAGGGCTCAGTCCACACAGCAGCTGCGCCCAGGTGGGTCGTCCTAGGAGGCCGCGGTCAAAACGGCACCTGATCCCAGGTCGAAACGGCGCTTACAACAAGTGTTTCCCAGGTGATGCATGGCAGGAGGCGCTTGCACATATGCAGTTTCTACAGGCACACGAGACCTCGACAACAGCTCTCTCTCTCTCTCTCACACACACACAAACACAAACTCTCCCACGCCGTAGCACGACGTTCGTACTCTCTCGCACGGTATGAGGCACGCCATTCGTTAATTTAGCAAATGCTATTAACATGTTTAGTCTGAATGCATGTCCTTGCTATCTGGTTACATTTCATGTGACTAAAAAAATTTGGCCAGTGATTTGCACCGAGTAACGACTTCTTTACACTCGGGCCATGGCTCGTGTTGTAATCAAAGCCCCGTATTCGAAAAGATGAACAGAAGTAAGCAACTTCGCATCGAACGGGGAAAAAGCATAACGCTACACTAAACAATCGAGGAGGCAAGGGGTGCGGTCGACCACAACAATAACAAGCTCTCATTCCATCTTTCGTTTCCATACCGTTTTAGTATGAATGAACATGTTGCTATGGCCCAGCAATGTCTGAGGCTGCTACACATGATTTACACAGAATCACGATTGGGTTAGCCCCTTCACCCTCACAAGCATGCAGCGCATAGCAGGCCATGTGGACATTAATACACAGAAAATTACAACGCGACTTCTCAAAGACTGCAGGGAGAAACATAATGTTGTCCTGCCACTCCACTGTGCGACCTTCCTACGTGTAGCCAACAGCACTTGGGGCCGTAGTAAAGAGGTTAACGGATAGACATTCAGAGAGTCCGAGTGAGGAAGAGAACATCTCAATTTGTGCTTCTACATGTAAAGCATAGATCTTGAACCATACGACCTCGGAATTTGATTTCCTACTTTCAACTGTGCTCGTTAGGCGTGAATCTCGTCACCCTCATACCGGGAGACGTGGTGTGATGAATCGCGCCTGACGAGTCCGGTATATCAGCTGGACACCTTGTTCTATTGTTTGCCATTGACCTTCAGGGTCAGTAGCGGAACGTTCTGGAAGTTGAAGAAGGCTATTTGTGAAATCAGCTGGAGATATCAGAAGTGAGAATGCTGACACGAGTAACAAAAAATCAGGTGTGACCTCAGGATCGATGCAATTTGTCAGTCTCGATTCGAGGGTTCTTCTCAGGGTACCAGCCATCGTCGTCCAAGTGTGGAGAGTTGGGTGGTGTGGGTGGTGTGACAATGCATACCTGACAAGTCGGGTAGAGCAGGTGTGACCTCTAGATCAGAGCAATTTTTCTGTTTACAATTGGATATGCGGCCACCTACCATCTTTACATTCGCGCTGATATGGACAAGACCCTCCAGCAACATGTCCATCTCGCCCCCCTCCCCCCCCTCGACTACTCTGAGCTGGATGCCTAGCTTTTCATACTTCTTATCTATACATGAACTTGATCACTACCTCGTCTTAACATACTACCTTCCTAACCTCGCCCATTGAAAATCGACCAGACCCACAGAAGTATCTCCACGTCCGCTTTCGACGAAGCAACACGTTTGGCATTTGAGTTGGCATCAATGAAGGATAAATAATTCGCGGTGGCATCACAGAAATGAAGGATAAACAATTCGCTACCTCAATTCTCAGCGATGGCGAACATGGTATGACACCACGACGAACATAACCTGCAATACATTGCTCCACGATTTCCGACACTATACTTTCTTCCATTGCCTATTGTACTGAAACACTGCGTTCGGCTTCCCAGCATTCGCCAAGCCGACCAAAAAAACTCTGCAATTGTCCAGTTAGTGTAACCCACGGCCTATCCTTCATCTTGAGAACACAACAATTTGAGAAAGGCCTGCAATACATCCACAACATATTGCCATATAGATGATATGGAAGTGTGGAAGATGTTCAAGTTGAGCAATAGCTGCATTGACCTTGCCAAATTGCCCGTAAATCCCCTATCCTTTATCTTGAGAACACAACAATTTGACAAAGGCCTGCAATACATCCACAACATATTGCCATATAGATGATATGGAAGTGTGGAAGATGTTGCCTGTTGAGAAATTGCTTCATTGACCTTACCAAATTGCCCGTAAATCCTTTGGGCGAATTGTTGCAAGGATGTTGGATTTGCCCGACAATCAGACGTGGCAAACAAAGAGAAAAACATGGCGTCTACGCGGGTTCGCGGGAGTGCGCGAACGGATGGCTGCAGACTACCAGGGCGCTGACGGTGGGGGTCAAGTGCGATGTGAGACAGCTGAAAATTACGGAGTGAATCGGTATGCGGGGCGAGAAAATCGAACACGATTATAACGTTCATGCAGACAGGGACTAGCTAATCCAAACGCTCCTCACCGTCCAGGATTGACGACTGCATTCTAATCTCGAACATAATGAGATTCACGTGTCTCTTGCCGTTAGGTCAAAAGGTCGTCAACAAAATTTCTACTACAACTTACTATACCTTGCCCCGACGATAACGCCTGGGCTGTATTCAGAGGCGGGCACGGTAAGTACGTGTTCACGATTACGGAGCGAAGTAATAATTATTACAATCTATTGTGTGAGTTCTAGATCATACTAATTTTTTTGAGACCTTGCACCTTTCTCGGCCTTTCGGCTAAGATAGAGTGAAGTATCTGTTCTGATCAGTTTAAGATCTGATCCGTGGTCCATCGGACCACGATATTAAATTATTTTTTCTGGGCCACGGAATCAACAACAACAAAAAAAAAAAGAAACCTAATTCTTAGTGAGCTCTAGATCTTACTAAATTTTTTGAGACCTAATTCTTACTGAAAGATCGTGGGACATAGACCTTACTAAACTAAGGTAAGACCCGGATCTTACCTATTCTGTGATCTAGACCTTTGTGAAAAATGACGAAGTAGCAAACCATCAACACCCCCTGGACAAGAGCAAAACCGCCTCGCCAGAACTACATGTCAAATTACATCGACGAGGAACGAGCCTCATAGACTTATCTTGCAAATCTTCCCATATGCACATCATATGCGCTCACATACCCTCGCCAACCTCCGCTCAGGAAACATGGATCGGCCTCTACTGAAACCATATCCATCCATTACTCCTCTCCATCGTATGGAATCTAGATTTCCACGCGTAAACACTAATTGGGTTAAACCCTTATATTCATTCGACGGGGGTCGGAAGAAACGCCATTGTGATGGGCAACGCGAAGAAAGATAGTTCTTAAAAATCCTACCGCGTTCAGGTCCACCCCTCATGCGCGGAGGCGCCCAAGGGACAGACAGAAAAGACTCCTCAACAAATCCAATCGCGTTCAGGTCACCCGTCATGTGCGAACGCTGCAAGTCATGACGCGCAACAACATAAACGTCGCTCTCTCTCTCTCTCTCGCACGCGCACACGATTCCGAATAGAAACCCAGCGCCGGCCACGGTGACAGGTTGCCAAAAAGATCCGACAGGTTTCAGAGAGTTTTGAAGGCAATGGAAATACAATCATGACTTGGTTCGTTTTGTACTCAAGATTTGGGGTCCAGATAAATCTGGTTGCACAGTGCTACTCGAAAGAACAATCACCTCTCTCTCTCTCTCTCCACATGCAGTAGAAGTCAAACAAACATAACCGGGAAGTCCGTGCATGGTGTACTCAATTACTTTAGACCATGAAGGCATAGCGTTCAATCTTACAAATCCTGCTTCTCATTTTTCCTCATACCCCCTGTTATTCCTTTAATCCTACTTCCTCTGCCTTGCCAATGCCTCATCTTCCTCCGTCCCTTCTGCCGTCCCAAGACGATACGACAACACTCGTACCAAGAAGATGAACAACTCATCTTCAACCACTTCCGGCCGTCAGTGTCTATCCCCTCTTTTCCCCCCCTTTCCCTCTTCTGGCCTTCCCCTCTTTTCCTTCCCTTTCCCTCTTCTGGTCTACCCCTCTTCCGCTCTTTCCCTCTTCCACCCTCTTAAATTTGCTGCACTTTCCCTCTTCCGCTCTTTTCCTCGTCCCTGTTCGTTCGCACATATCCCCCCTCTTCCGGTCTACCTCGACCGCTCTCATCATCTAAATCCGTTCGGCCCCTCTTACGCTCAATAACCTCCGCTTTTGCCCTCTTCGTCCGCTAACTCCTCTCTTTCCCTCTTCCGCCGCTCATTCCCTCTTTCGCTACTTAAACTCATCTTCCGCTCAATCCTCTTTCCCTCTTCCACCCTCTTAAATTCGCTGCGCTTTCCCTCTTCCGCTCTTTCCCTCGTCCCTGTTCGATCGCACATATCCCCTCTTCCGCTCTATACGTCGACCGCTCTCACTATCTACATCCGTTCGGCCCCTCTTACGCTCAATAACCTCCGCTCTTGCCCTCTTCGTCCGCTAACTCCTCTTTCCCTCTCCCGCCGCTCATTCCCTCTTTCGCTACTTCTCATCTTCCGCTCAATCCTTTTGTCACTGTTTCCCTCTCCGCCTAGGCCGCCCTTTCCTGGAATCATCACGAAGAAGCCCGTCTGCGCTCAAATCTACACTTTATTAGATGCACCCACTGTCGATTGCCACACCCTACGCCGGCATGTCGCCCTTATTTCTCCTTCTCTCATTCTCCTGTCTTGTCCGTTAAAATTTCCTTTTTTCCGACCCTCGTCCTCCACTGTTAATCACCACCATCCTCTTTCCATACCCTTTTTCGTCAACCATCGACTACCCTCTTTATCCCGCGTCCTCTCGACGAACGTACGTTAAGGCCTGAATGGTTAAGGAATAGACTGCCCAAACAGTCTATTAAGGATGATTGTCACTTAACGTTGAAACCAACTTCCACGATAGAAAGACGATAACAAGAATCGCATTCTCACTCCAGACTGAAATCTGTCCGTCCGCACCGATCCAAGGATCGAACACGCGACCTCCACGTTAAGAGGTAAACACTCAACCAAACGGCTAAGTGGACTGGGGTGAAAGTTAAACCCACGACTACTAAACCCAACCCCAGCACAGGTACTCGTTTTTCCCCGCGACCCGATGTACCCAGTCACACACGCGCACCCAACCAGGGTGTGGTGTGTAAAACAGCCCCGTCGGGCAACAGATCAGGTCCAAACGCAATTCAGGCAGCTAAGCAGGCAAACGACCAACTCGAGGCCCCAGGGAGACAGAATTAACGCGCAGCACGTGAGGGAGGAATGCACCCTCTACCAATACAAAACTTACAGGAATTAACGCAGCACGTGAGGGAGGAAGGAACGCAGCCTCTGTCATAAACAAAACTTCCAGAACTCGAAAAATGGCAGACTTTAGTGCCCCTCTCGGAAACACCCCTGCGTATCTCGGCGCTCTCCTGAAACAAAAGTGGGCTGGTCGGAACGTACCTGGGCGCACAAGCGATCCCGGACGTCCGGGATCGCCAGAGATCGTACGGGCGTTGTGAGACGGTAATAGTCCCAGAAGAATTTAAAAGGCATCCATCCTTGACTGCTGCTAGAGTGCTCTTCATTCGAGGCCTCAAAAAAAAAATCGAACACACAGGACATTGAAAAAAGAGGTATTCCAAAAAAAAAAAAAAAAAAAAAAGAGACATTGCAAATCTTTTACACGTGCGGGAAACTCAAATCATCACATCTCATTCAGGATGTTTTCTCAAAAACAAGGAGAAATGGAACCCTCTGTTACTACATGCATAGCACAAAATATTAATCCCACGCCTTCTGTCCACAGGAGGCAGACCGGTCTTTCTCCATCCGTTATCGAGGCCTCTCGACCTAACATGCTTCCTCTCTCCTCTGCACTATGCCCTCGAATTTTCACCCCGCCGGAGAAGACGATAACCACAGACTGATTCCACACAGCTGGAAGCTCAAACCCTAATTGCAGATTCTGTCCCCTCGTACGATTCTACTAATATTAGATACCCTCATCCTTACATCGCAGGGAGGCAAAGTTGTGCAGGTAAAGACCGCATCATCTGTGCCTGCACAACTGTGCAGGTAAAGACCTCATCATCTGTTTGCCTTCAACAAGTCTTCGACTCTTTCGCAGGAAGGACTCTTTCTCAGAAAGGACAGTATTAATTAGCAGATAATCAACAAGTCTATTAATGTGCAGGCTTCAGAAAACGGAAGTAACAAAACCCTTCCACCTTAGTCGAAGAGACTGAAGCCCATATCCTGCAACAAAGCACACAAACAAGAAACACAATTGATACAACTCAGTACACACGCGACACATCACATATATCCGTAACAGTTGAGATGGAAAAAAAAAACACTTTGGATCTTGAATTCGTGATAACAGGGCGCCGCTTGTAAACTAATAAGCTTCGCCCTTCCCTATTTAGGGATTGTCGAGCGGAAAAAGCAGCCTGAACCTCAACCTCAGTAACGCCGTATCTGTACGAACTCACATACACGTGAACCTGAGGACTGTTAAAACTACTCTTAGAGATAATTGCAGAAACGAAGGAACGAATACAAAACCTCATCATCACAGAGACCCCTCCACGTATTTCCACAGGCAGTAGACCGTAGACGGAGAAGGAGAAGAGGACAACAACGAGGGGCTGTGACATCTGTTTCATCGGAGTTCAACCGACTCATCAGGAGACTGAATCTTCAAAAACAGTCTGCAGAGTGACTGATTACACTTAAGTGACAATCATCCTTAACCCTGAATGGTTCACGTGGTTAACCAGGGGTGTTATTATCGACGAATTTTGCACCGAATTGCACTGCAACTGTCATATTGTGCTGATTTTTCGCTTTCTTTCTTGTTTTTCTTTTTGGGTGATATATATGTGCTTTAGGGTACGTCATGTGTGCAGTTTTGACATGTTTGGATCAATAATGAGAAAGTTGGCATTTCGTTGGACGCTTCATTTTGACTCGGACAGTGTCTTTGTGTTAGCGTTTCATACTGTTCTTATGTTTTTCTTCGTTTTTTTTTGGCCTGTTTCCTTTTTTAACGTTCGCACTACGGTCTCATATCGTTTGTTTTTAAAAAATTTCGATGAAATTCGCACTGAAATTGCCAGCGAAAATGGCGAATATTTGGCCCCCCGTTAACCATCTCTCCTTTCCACAGGCAGTAAACCGTAGCCGGAGAGGGAGAAGAGGGCAGCAAACGACGAGCTGTGACAACTGTTTCATCGGAGTTCCACCGACTCATCAGGAGGCTGAACCCTCCACAGTCTACAGAGTAACTGATTACACTAAAGTGACAATCATCCTTAACCCTGAATGGTTAAGGAATCGACTGCCCAAACACTAATACGTTAAGAAGAGGCACCAAACGACTGCCCTCAAGGTACCTCTGACGAAAATCAAAGCAGTCTATCACTCACCCACACCATAAATCGAACTCTTGAGAATGCAGATTCACACCCCAATACATAATAATGTACTATGTCATCTAGCGGTCAAGCGATTCCATTGGATGCTTGTGAAGTGGTAACAACAATAGCCCGAACAAAAACACAATCAACCGTGTCTCACATCGCTGGGTGTCCGAACGCTATTCTCCAGAGTAGCATTTGCCGGGTTGATTTTGGTATTTACCGTCGCCGTTGCTCCAGTACAACAAGAAAGGCGGCGAGCAAACAGCTCCTGGGCATGCGATCTGCGTCAGACTACGAGTTGAGCGAAGTGCAGAGAGAAGAGCCGCGGATTACCAACAGGCGTACGAATCCTGATGGCACTCGCTGAGTTGGTTTCCATATACCGCGGCCATTGCTGCAGTGCAAAAAGAAGAAGAGAGCAAACAGCGTCTGGGCATGGGCTCTACATCACACACTACACGTTGAGCGGAGTGCAAATAAGGCAGATGTCCATATACCGCGGCCGTTGCTGCAGTGCAAAAAGAAGAAGAGAGCAAACAGCGTCTGGGCATGGGCTCTACATCACACACACTACACGTTGAGCGGAGTGCAAATAAGGCAGATGACTGCATGTGTACTGCTTTGGGAGAGTCGACGGACACGTTTTGCCGCCAATTCGTCGTACAATTATTCCCACATGGACGCCAGATTCAAAAAGAATCACAGATCGTAACTGTACTTTCGCCGTGATTAACATTCCACGTGCAAATGGCAGTTCACACAATACGAGACCCGTACTTGCCCATTTCGAAAACACGAAGAACAAGGGACGGTCTTTGGGAGTTACTCTCTTACCTCATCCTCTTCCTCCTCTTCTTCCTTCTCCGGTTCCTTCTCCGGCTCCGCAGCGGCAACGCCGCCGCTAGCTGCGTCACCTCCACCACCGCCGCCAGCACTCACGGCAACTGCGCCGCCACCAGACGGGACCGACGAGAATTTCTCCCTTCCTGCAGCGATCAACTCGTTGACATCCTTGCCCTCTACCTCTTTCATCAACTTGTCCAATCTCTTGTGATCTACATCTGCACTCACTGCAAAATATTCACAGAACGACAAGCACACTCGCCTTGTTATTGATTCATGCACTTCCTTGCTAGAAACGAATACCTGAAATCAAAACACAAGAAACCGGACTTACCTTCCGTCATTCACATGACCACTAGCCCGGGCTATAAGCAGCCTTCTCCCTCATGCACATCGGAGGAATAACGAAAACGATGTCAGCCTGCGCCTTTATGCCATGCCACCCATACCCATACCGTCACATTCCAGAAGAGTTTTGCAAGTGGGAAGCGTGCCACTCGGCCTCGCCCGATCACTCCGGTCACAAGCACGTTCGGCAACAAGCAGCGAAGCAAACAATCAAACAAGCGACCTCAACACTAATGTCCTCAACCCTAATGTCGCCACATTCTTCCTGACATTGCATAACACATTGAGAAACGCATTAATCCGGTTTGTTTACTTACTCCGATCACGTCGGGCCCAACCGAAGAGACAATTAAAACAATCAGTTCGTACACACGACCGCCATTCTTAACAACCCTAAAAAAGATACAGAGATGTCGCGCGCAAGCGCAAGGAGAAGAAGACGAGCAGCAATCAAACCGTTCACGCCAACGGAAAATTTAAGTGCATACCTGATTCCAGGATGTCAGCGATGTCATCCGCCGTAGGGTGGGCCTTGCCGCCGAGAACGGCCAGCAAATATGCTGCGACGTACTTCATTTTCGAGAGAGGGAAGTTCCACGTTGGGTACAGGCAAAAACGTTCTATTCCTCCACTACTTTTCCGCACTGGCGATGGCTGGCTTGCGCTCAGGCAATCACCCGCGACCGCCTTCGAAAGAGAGGACGGCGAGGGAGGGTATACTCACACTTGTACTTTCCCAACCCTACCGGTACTGGCAACGGATGCTACGATCCAGGGGATCCTCATTCTTGGTGCCTTTTTTCACCGAGCCATCCTTTCGTTCCCCCTTTTCGCCCTCAGACCGCACAGGCGCCCAGAGTGGCGAGAAGGGACCGCCAGCAGGTGGGCCCGGCCCAGACTGGCGAGATAAGGACCGGCTGCAGGTTGTGGGCTCAAACCCCGATCAATGGAGACGGCTATTGGCGACCCCCAGTTCGCAGCCCGTCAGGGTTGCGTTTTATGCCCCTGAGTTCGCAGCCCGTCAGGGGTGCGTTTTACCCCCCTGAGACATTTCCCCCCCAAGACATTTTCGTCGTCCTTCGTTATACCGGTCGTTGATTGGGGCTTTCGAAAAATGCAGGCAGGTGCAGGCATGACACTTTGGGGGTTGGTGGCAGTTTCTTTGAAAAATGCGGGACTGGTAACTGCCCGTGGGACCGCACGCGGGGTTTTGGTTGAAACGGTGGCAAAGCAGCGGCAGGGTGGAAAAGTGGAAAAGTTTGCAGCCCGTCAGGGGTGCGTTTTCCCCCCCTGAGACTGTGACCGCGCGGGGCGCGGGGGCGTAGCCAGGGGGTAGGAGATTGTAGCCTTGGGGGTCACCATCAGGTCTCTGTGGAACCACCAATTCCATTAGCTAGGTCCGGGCATAGGACCTGGGGGCCGAACCAAGCCCTTGGGACTGCCGATAGGTCCTTGGCAAAAGGTCCCTCGGACTCTAGGTAGGTCCTCAGCCATCAGATCCCTGGGACTACCGGTCCCCTTTGGCTGCACACTGGGACTTCCAGTGGGTCCTTGGCCCCGCAACTAGGTGGCACCATGATGATATTGCCTACCGCGTGGGCGCGGGGAACGCAGCCCTAAGGTAGTCAAATCAATGAGACTAAGAGCTAACACAAAAGAGAGAGAGAGAGAGAGAGAGAGAGAGGGAGAGAGAGAGTTTTGTTCCATTTATTGTTATGAGTGTGAGAGACGGAAAGAAATAGAGAGAGAGTGAGGGGGGGGCCTACCAGAGAGAGAGAGAGGCGGGGGGGGGGCGAGGACTACTCTAGAGCTGTCTCTTATACACATCTAGATGTGTATAAGAGACAGGCCTATTGTACTGAAACACTGCGTTCGGCTTCCCA